GCCCTGGGCGGCGGAGCGCCCCAGAGCCCAGTCGGGAGCCCGCAGGACTCATTCCAGGTGAGATTGTAGGTGGTAAGCTGTTCAGAGCAAAACGTAGTTTAAATTCTTGAATATTCTTGACGTTCTGGAGCACCTGAGTGCTCTGAAGGGGGGTGCCTTCCCTGTGCCTTGGTCTAGTTCAGAGACTTTCCCCACTGCAGCGGTGCACAGATCCCTTTATTCTAATGCCTTCATCTAGTGAGATTGCAAACCTCGGGTTTGTGGTAAGTGTGAGCACTCTGTCGAAGACGTGCAAGTTTTTTTTAACTTGGTATTAACCATACCTCAGTATTGCTCTATGTCTACACTGAGACTTTTCTGTTTCTGTGACTGAAAAACGTGTGCACGTGGTAGGTGTGTATTAGGCCCGCTGCTTAGCCGACCATGAAACTGCAAGTTGGCGTTCTTAAATCCTTGTAAAGGCAGTGTTGCTTTGAACCTAACTTAGTTGTGTTCTTCATAGTGTTGAAATACGTTCACTCAAGGGTTAACTACATTTTTTTCTGATTCTTTAATTAGAATGTGCAAATATCTGTATTGAGCTTTGGCTCATTTAGCTTCAGTTTGGTAGAATTATCTCCTCAGGGAGACTTATGTCAGGCTCCAGTTTAATCATAGTAAATCCAAACTAAGCACTAACAGATTTTTATTGTGTAATGCATCCTGTTTTGATCTTTGAGATGCTGCAGAATCAAATGTTCATATAAATAGGGCTACATACACTAGTTATAAAAATAAAAATTTTATCAAATAAGGTTATACCGGGTTACACAGTTACATTGAAGGACATACTGAAGCTACTTGCTTAACTGCAGATCCTGGCTTTTCTGGTTCTGCGAAGTGGTTGATTTTCTTTAAGGGGTTCTAAAGTACTTTCAGACTCGTGTAACTTTATTTTTTAGCAATTTAGGAAGGAGAGGTAGTGCAATAACTGTTGTAGCAGTCACAATTGCCTGGACAAATATAGCTAGATAACATTTAATAGTAGTTAAGGATAGTGTACTATATTGCCATTCATCGTAGTGTACAAACAGTGGAAGTGTATTATGTAAATACATTATCACAGATCAATTTTAGTTTTCTGCTGCTTGGTGTCTACCAGTTGGTGTGGTATGGCTTTGACTATACCTGGTTGAAGTTATGTGAAGTTGTTAAATGGCATATAAATACACAAAGCATCTGACCACTTCACTTTGTAAATCATTCCCCACTCCCCCCCCAAAGAGAAGTCATGAGCAAATAACTAGATATTACAATATTTTAAACAACTAATGGCTTGGGATTGCCCCAGCCTATGTGCAGGGCCTTGTACTTGGCCTTGTTGAACTCCATGAGGTTTGCACGGCTCCACCTCTCCAGCATGTCCAGGTCCCTCTGGATGGCACATCCCCTCCCTCCAGCGTGTGACTGCACCACACAGCTCAGTGTCATCAGGGAACTTGCTGAGGATGCCTCAGTCCCACTGTCCGTGTCACCAACAAAGATGTCAAACAGCACCAGTCCCAACACCCACCCCTGAGGATGCCACTCGTCACTGCTCTCCACCTGGACATTGAGCCATTGGCCACAACTCCTTGAGTGTGACCATCCAGCCAATTCCCCATCCACCGAGTGCTCCATCCATCATATCCACGTCTCTCCAATTTAAAGAGTCAGAAGCTCTGCACAAGTCCAGGTAGATGACATCAGTTCCTTTACCAGCACTGTAACCCTTTCATAGAAGGTCACCAAATTTGTCAGGCACAGTTTCCCCTTAGTGAAGCCATGTTGGCTGTCACCAATCGCTTCCTTATTTTCCATGTGCCCTAGCGTAGTTTCCAGGAGGATCCTCTCCATGATGATGCTGGGCACAGAGGTGAGACTGGCAAGTCCTAGCAGTATTAAAAGTTTTCCTGGTCATAAACTTTCTAAAACTAACGTGCTAAAGATATTAAGCTTGGTTATCATGACTTGTTAAAGCATCTGTTGCTTTTGAAAGCACATGTCTCTATCAAGTAACTTCAGAGGTGCTGAGGAGGAGAGGATGGGACTTTCATCCAGGCATTTCTTGTTATGTGTTTCTGCAGTTTTCTGATTTTTTTCTGTTTTTCTAATATATTTTTTCAGCAGTGTATTTTTACTGAATCAGAGGAAGTATCCTATGAAATAGGAATGGAACTTCTTGTTATTGGACTGTTGTTTCATTTCTGATGCCTTGCTGAACTTTAACAGCTTAAAGAATGTGTTGAACCTCATTATTTAATAGAAATCAAGTCTAACCAGCAAAATGGATGCAGGGCTTTTTAAAGCCAGTCTGGCTGTGAACTGTAGAAATCGGTATGTGAAGCAGCAGTTTTCTGTGACTAAATTACTCTGTCTCAAACTGGATAAAAATTATATTCTGGATTTAAAAATTCTATAGACAAATAAAGAAACAAGTTTAATTATAATAATGGAAGAAGTGAGGTCTGGTATGAATTAAATAAATTAACTTCTTTAGGCATGAGATCAAGGGAAAGGATTTATGCTCTGAGGTGGAGAGACATAGCAAAAGGATTTGTATTAATGGGGTAGAGGATCAGTGCAGAGACGGGACCAGAAAACTAATCTGTGAAGGATTTGGACAGGGTTGATGATGATAGCACAGTGTTGGTGTCAGTGGCGGGAAATCTGTGGCACTAATCTGTGATACTGGGGGAGGGAGGAGAGGATCCTCTGTGACTGGTGTCCTCCTGAGGAACGGCATCAACGGCCTGGGAGATGTGCAGGAGGGAAGGTTCTGGTATGCTGGAAGGGAGGCTAGTGTGTGGTGTGACAAAATGGAAGAAAGATTAAAGTGGCATGAAGGGAGGGAGTGATGAAAAAGTTGAAAGGATAAATAAGCACTCTAGGCTGAAAAATAAAAAAGTGTTACCGGAGAGCCCTAATGTGACCTGAAGCACAAAATAATTCTCAGTGCACGCTGCTGAAAAATGGAGTCTTTCTAGGATATTGTTGGGGGGATGTTTAGTCATTGAATGTAAAAGTGATTGGTGAAGTGCAAGTTTTGTAGGTGTTATCATGGGGCCTTCTAGATACAGAATGTTTTCTTTATGATCAGTCCGCACTCTTCCTCTTTTCCTGGGTATCATTCTTGGTTAGTTTTTCTTGTCAAAAAATCTACCATTATACCTGTGACTGAAAATCAGTGAAAATCCCAAGAACAACTATTGAATTGACAGGAATTCAAATATGAAATCTCTGCTAGAGTTTATAATCTTCTTGTCCAGATAGACTGTAGCTTTCGTATGTTTCAGTGTACACCATCTGTTTGCATTAGGATTTAACTTTTTCCGTTGCGTTTGTTGCTTTTTTTTTTTATTCCCCCAAGATTTAGTTGAGAGGTCGCTGTTGCTGCTAACAGCAAATTTATCTGTGTCAGTTACACCTTTTAACCTATGGCATTACCTTTTTTTAATGCAGGTTTTTATTTATAGCTCTTGCACCATGGTTTGAATCAGTTTTGCAATAGAAATGGCTAAACAGTCAACTTTAGTACTTCAGCTATATCTAGAAACAAGGCAAGACTATCCAAATGTAAAATTCCTCTGCCTTTTGGTTTCCCCTATGTAAAAATGTCATTTTAAACGTGTTTGTTTAGACGTGAACCACTGGCTCTTATCAACCTCAAAAAGAAAAACGAAGAAACTGGGGAAGAGGAACTTGCCTCACGCTTAGATCACTGCAAAGCAAAAGCCACCAGGCACATATTCCTTATCCGTCATTCTCAGTATAATTTGGATGGACGTGCTGATAAAGACAGAACTCTGACCCCGCTTGGTATGTTTTTCTAGAAGCATTGTACTTTGCGTTTTGAGAAATTGGTTTTTCATGTGCTGCTGTCCTGATGAGTACAGGTCAGTAACTCAGCTCTGTTCTGGGTCTCACTGCCAAACCTTAATCCGCTTTCTGGATTCTTTGTGGCAGAAAGATGTCATGAGTAAGTTTGTGTTTTGTGGTTTTTTGATCCTCTAAATCCAAAAATTAAAACATGCTTTATGGAGTTCTAAACACACTCAGTTATAAAGAAATTTCACAAAGGAAACTTCCAGTTATCTTTGGTTTCTTGAGCAAACTTTTGTGCTAAACTTGACATAATTCCCCAGGGCTAAGGCTTTTAAACTTAGCTCCATGACTAACTTTGGGATAGATTTCTCTTGAAAGGTGACTTGTTTCTGTTAGTTAATTTGCTGATTTATTAAAAAAAAAAAATACCCCTGACTTTCAGTTGGAGCATTTATAATTAAATACATTTAACTTTTGCTACTAAGCACTGTTTCTGGGAATACTGGTAGTCAGTTACATGAGGTGAGGATAACCTCTGTCTGTGTTAATTCATTGATTCTGTGATTAGATCTCATGTTAATTAGTATTATTTTAATAGTGTACTTTAAAAGCAGTGGACACTTTCTTGTTTATATGTATTGCTGAGACTGTTTTGAGGGGGAAGAATTATTATTGTGCAGTGCTGATTGAGATTTTGGAAGTCTAGTTCCAAATGTTCAGTATAAACACCTTTTTTCTTCCCGAGTCTTAATCACCAGTGTGCAAACAGGAGTCAAATGTTAATTTCAGGACTAAGGTGCTATCTTAAACTGGTAGCAAAGTATAATCTTAATCCTGTCTCATCCTGTGCCTTGGGTAAGTTACTCAAACTGTCTGTTGGCTTTTCACCTACCTACCTGAAAGATGGAATGAAGCCTTCCTTGGCAACTTCTGTGGTTCTTAACTGTTCTGAGAAAAATGCAGTTCAGGTCTGAGTGGGTCTGTTTGACACAGCTTCCTCTTCTGTGCTCCCCGAACACAGAGATGGCACGTGGCTTGGGGCAGCACTGTCCTTCATTGGAAGTGGCTCCCTTGGGATGGGGCTAGCAGGGATATCAAATACTTCAGGGAAAGTCTCTGCATAAGTTTGGGAAACATTTTTTATTTTAATGAAAAAAACCCAAAGACTAATTTTTCCTGCTGATGGAAATACAACTTGAAATTGTCCAGCTAATAAGCTTGATCTGTAATGACTCTGGTAAAAATATTTTCCAATTACTTTTTGAAAGGAAAAAAACCCTGACATTGATGGAGACCTTTTATGACTTTTTTGGTAGTTTGTGTGAGGTGCTTACATGAATGTCACCAATTTATATAATGAATTTTTAAGGTCGAGAGCAGGCTGAATTGACTGGACACAGGCTGGCGAGTTTTGGATTAAAATTTGATCAGATTATCCACTCCTCCATGACTAGAGCAACTGAAACAACTGAGATTATAAGCAAACATCTCCCAGGTAAGTGACTTCCCTTAATTTTTCATTATATTGTGATCTGTAAAACTGCTTCCAGTAGAACTCTAAGCTTGTCCATAAGTTTGAGATGTTATTTAGCCAATTTGCAGCCTTGTATGAATAAAGAAACAACCCTAATTCTGCTGTTTTTTCCAGTTCATCTCTAAAAACACAAGAGGGATCTGCCCCTCTGAGTGGTTAGCTGCTACCTATATGTACTGCTTTGTAGGAGAGCTCTGCTGGCTACTCTTCACTTACACGTTTTATAAAGCAAACACTGTCACAGGTCATCAGGATTGGCTCAGTCCTTAGTCTCAGGGCAATAGCGCAGGAGAGAGGATCATAAACTCCAGTTCTTGTATGCTTGCTGGGGTAGTTATCAGGCCCACCTTGTGTGCTGTGCTGCCCTGGTGTGCAGGGGAAGATGTAGCACACCCAAAAGCCTAGGGATTTTTTTAATGTGAGTGGGTGGCTACTTTTTTTTATATGGGTGTTTGGAGTGGTGCTGGTGTTTAGTTTGTTTTTTGGGGAGATTTTTCCTGCTGTTCAGACATATCAGTATCTAAATTGACCACAGATAATTGTCTGGTATTTTAGCAGATAATCAGGTGTGACAAGCTGAAAGTCAGTTCTATTAACCAATCTGTTTATTTTCTTAAATGTGCTGTTTCAAACCCCCCCCCAAAACTAACAAAACAGAAAAACCCAAACACCCCCCCAAACCAAACAGAAAACCCCCACCTAAACCGTCTTTCCTTCCTCAGAGTAAGATATTAATATTTTAAATATATATATTAAATATAGAAAGTGTAGTATTAGCATTATCTTGCATTAATTAGCAGTAAGCATTAACTAACATATGACTTTAGATTAACATCCTTGCAAATACATTTCTTCAAAGTGCAGCAGACTGGGAAGACTCAACTTGCTGTGCCAGGCTGGTCTGGCTGTTCTTAGTTGGAGTAAACTTCATCTTGCTGCTGATGAAATAGTTGTGTTGGAGAGATTCACACACCTTGATAGGAAGTGGATAGACTGGTCTTTAGGATGGAGAGGAAGACTTCCTTAAGAAAGATATGAAAAACATGTTGACTGTAGAGTTGTGGGCCTGTTTGCAGTAGCGTGTGAAGTAACAACTCCTTTCTGAATGTGTATTAAATATTTCAGGAGTCAAAAAAATTAGTACTGATCTGCTGAGAGAGGGAGCACCTATAGAACCAGACCCTCCAGTCTCTCATTGGAAACCAGAAGCTGTGGTAACTTTTTATTTAAAGTTGGTGTTTTGGTGTTTGGGGTTTTATTTCTGTATTTGTGTTGTTTGGGGGTTTTGTGGTTTTTTTTTAAATATACTTTGTTGGCTCTAATAATAACTTGCAGTGTCTGAGGTGATGCTTTTCATCACAGACCTTAGATAATTGCCTACTTTTTTCCTCTCCAGTAAGTGTACAGAACAGTTAAAATAACTTAAAATCCTGAAGTATTAGTTCAACCTCAGGCGTGCATCCCTGTAAAGAACTCTTCAGAAGACACAGCCCATCTGCAAACGCAGGCAATGGCATGTGCTGCTCGGAGCTGTGTTTAATTCTGAACTCTGTGCCATTAGCAGTATTACGAAGATGGAGCTCGAATTGAGGCTGCTTTTCGAAACTTCATTCATAGAGCTGATGTAAAGCAGGAAGAAGACAGCTACGAGATCTTTGTCTGCCATGCCAACGTGATCCGCTATATTGTGTGCAGGTACGTGCTGGATTGCTTGTTCATTCGTGTTCTGTAAAAGGTCGTGCTGTTATTGAAGGAGTGTGGGGTGTGGCACCGCTCAGCTCAGAGATGGCGGTGGTTGATCGGTGCCTGCGTTGGGAGCAGCTGCTTCTGCAACGTCATCACAGAATTAATTTGCAGAGGGAGGACAGATTTGAAAATTAGAACACTTCCATTCTGATTCTAAAGTGAAAATGGCTAAATTGGTGAGACTCAAAACCTTTCTGTATGTCTAAACAGCCTCTTTAATACCATAAGCTTCTGCTTCCCATAAACCTGAGGACAGTGGCTGTGGGGGCTGTTGGAAAAGACAACAAATAAGAGCATCTGACTGGATGTGTCTTTTTGGGGTAATGTGGATTTGATCTTACATAATCAAAGATTGATCTGGTTTTGGGAATTCTTTACTAATGGAAACTTTTGTATGGTGTGCAAGTTGTATTCGTGTGTTTTTGCAGTAGCATCCTGTATAGGATCAGAGGGAGAGTGGATCTTTCCACTAACTTCAAGGTTGCTCGTGAAGGAGAAAACAGTTCTGGACCTTTGCCTGTCTGTCTGTTAGCTGTGTCTGTTTTATTCCTCTTCCCTATCACCAAAGCACTGTCTCTAAGATAATTTGTCTTAAGCAGGGCTGATGTGATTAAACTTCAATCTGATCAATACCTACAGCAATTTCAGTTAGCTTGATTTAGCTGAGCTAGTTAAATGCTAGCCTGTCTGCTCTGTGGGCTGCTTTAGAGCTCTTCAGAATTGCTATACTTAAAATTATTGATTAAGTAAACAGAATATTCTTCCCTGTTCCAAAAAAGATCGTCTTGCTGCTACCTAGGCTTTTTCTGAAATACTTGTATACTTTTTCTCTTTGCTGTTTCTTCTCTCTTCTTTTTAAGTGCTTGTGTGCTTTCCATTCCAGGCTATCTGCTATCACAGTTGAACAAAATCCATATGATGTTCCCTTTGAATTTAGCTTGACTGTAGCTTTACTTAATTTCTTAGCCTTTCTAAAAGACTGTATAAGAGCCAAAACCAAGTTAACCCTCAGTATCTGAAAACAAAAGGTGTTTGAGACAACTTTGTGTTTCCTCCAGCTGTTTACTACAGTTGATTGAAGTCCTGAGGCTGTTCAGTTAGGAATTCTAGAACAGCTGGAGACTGTCTGTGACACTGTGTTTCTACTGAAAGCACAAGGTACTCTCTCTTGCCACTTCTGGAGAACAGTATAGCTGAGGGAAAGTAGCTGTGGATTTCTTCCATAGGGACATCCAGGCAAGTAGAACGAATCCCATCTCACTACCTCTCCTCAGCTGTTGTTACGTGCCTGCCCATGCTGGTAAGGCTCAAACAGTGTGGCAGAGGAGTGTGCTGTCTGCCACTTGCACCTTCACTCAGCGGAGGAGACCGCTGGGGTGTGAGCCATCCTCTATGCCTGTCCTGAGCTGCGCAGGGCTGGGCTGCCCTTGGCTGAGTGACCAGCTCGAACCTGTGCTCTCTGTCCTCCACGTTGGTACGAGGTTGCTCAGAGTGTTCCCAGCAGCTTGACTGCGTTAGAGCTGCTGCCTTCCACCCTGCGCAGCAATCCTGTCTGCAGCAATCACACCCATCTGCTGGACTCTGCCTGTGCAAGTGCAGTGCTGGCACTGGTCCAGTTAGCAATGCTGCGATCTCTTATCAGTTGCACAAGAAGAATGTTTTTCCAAGGCTGACTGACTGGGATCATTTGCATGCAAGCTGCAGAAAGGCCAACAATTTTTTTTTTAATATTTTTTTTTTTTACTCTGGAGCAGAAAGTGATGCTATGAGGGAATGCTAATATAACTGTTTATGACTTAAATATATATTTATTTTTTTTTTTTAATAGAGCCTTGCAGTTCCCCCCAGAAGGCTGGCTGCGAATGTCTCTTAACAACGGCAGTATAACTCACTTGGTGATACGTCCGAATGGAAGAGTGGCACTTCGAACACTAGGTGACACGGGTTTCATGCCTCCAGATAAAATCACACGCACCTGATGAGCAAAACTGATGGCTGGCCAGCAGCTGCCTCTAGTCTCTTTGCACTAGTACATTCAGCTATGGTACTGCTAGATTTTTATCTGTTATATTGGGATGTGATGCTGTCTTAAAAATGTCCTACAGCCCCTTGCCTTCTTCATACATATTCATATCTGCCATTCAGTCCAGCAAAGAAGAAATCTTTGTAAGCCTGAAGCTGTCCAGTCCTCAAATATTCCCCAAAACACAAAGCTGAGCTGTGGAATACAGAGACTGAATGTCCTTGTGCTCAGCACTTGCAAGAGCACTGACTCCCCCCCACCCCGCCGTGAATTTCTGTAACCAAAGCTTGTGCCTGTGGATATTTCTCTTGTGCAGGACAGCAAGTGGTGTGGGAACTGGAGGGAACAGCCTTGTGTCACACTGCAGCTAAAACTGAAGGCGACCCAGCTTGTTTCAGCTCCTGCAGAAGTGACAAATGGGGTATTCTGCTGTTCAGACTTCAGTTTGTGTAAGCTGTTGAGGATGTGTGTTTATGTTGTGTCATTGTTTCCCTCTGCCCCTCAGAGCTCCTGTAAACTGTGCCTGGAGGTTGCAAGCATAAAGCAAAAAGGGTAAAAAAAAAAAAAGAAAAAAAATTGCCTCAGAGCTGTGGTGCTAGAACTAATTGCTGCTTATACTAAGTGTTCCTCCATCCTCAGGAAGTACTTCAAGCTATTCTGAACCATTTTTCAGTCTTGTAAAGCCTTTAACTAAAACTTGGTCTGTAGAAGGATGTAAAGATGAATTTGTAGCAGTAAGATGGAAGGAGGAACAGCAGCAATCTTCTGAAAGTGCTTCCAGTTACTCTTATATTTTTGAGTGCTTTCTCCCACTGATTTGTATTGCTACCTTGCTTTCTGAGTAGAGAAATACCAGCACCGAGTTCGAGGTAGAGATGATTCAGGTCAGAGATGCTGCAGTATTGGAGCAAACTGGTGCTTAAAACTCCTGTGGCCCGAGGGGTGACCGAGTCTCTGTGGGATGGCGGCTCAGGTGTGGGGGCTCCTTGGTACCGCGCTGACACTGCCAGGCTTATCCTGGGAAAAATGCCAGTGGCTGAGAAGTGGGGCAGGCTCAGAAGTGTTTCCTCCTAAGGATATTTGCTGGCACCAGAACCAGTGTAGTAACTTACTTCACTTAGTACCTGCAATGTTGAAAAATGTCACCATGGGCAGAGTCTGCCTTGGTGCCAGAGCACATACTGTAGGGCAGCAGATGGAACTGCACTTGTCTCACATATTCTTTTATCACCACGAGGGAGCCCCTGAACTCCTGTCAGGGCTGTGTGCAGTATAATCACAGCACAGCCGAGCGAGATGAGATTTAAGGGCTTGTTTGGAACAGGACTGCTCTGGCAGGATGACTGTGAGGAACCTGGGGTTAGTAGGGAACAAAAAATCCTTGTTGTGTAGTGCAAGTTGTGGGGGCAAGAGGAAACCATCATGATGTATCTCATTGATGCAGTGAGAATAATTTATCAGTTTTTGTCTATTAACTTTTTAAAAGTTTTGAATAAAATAACTGGTCTGTCTTTGTTTCTTGTCTCTTAGTGGAGTAGCTGTAGGTGGGGTGGCTGAAGTGCTGCACAGTGACTTGGCGAGCAGCCTCCGTGCCCCGCAGTGTCTGGGTTATAACAGCACTGTTACCACCTTTGTTCTTTTACCCCCTTTGTTCTTTTACCCCCAAGGAGCCGAAATGTAAACCTGATGTAGGAGCGGGCTCAAAGACAATTCTCCTTGGCCCCAGAGTGGATGCCAGCACTGCTGTGCAAGATCCTGGGGCTCCAGGGCTGTGTCACTTCCCACCACATGGAACAGAAGCCCCAAAGCCAGTGAGATGAACATTCTGTGTGGTTTTGTGTGTGTGTGTGTGTGTGTGTGTGTGT